TTTCCAGAAGTTTCCATATCCCAAACAGGCTTTCCCTCCAGTCTCATTAGCCACAACTCTAGGATACAGTTGCTATTCACACACTGACAAGAATGTAATTACTACCATTAGAAACATTATTCACCACCTGTGCTGAAGATTTCCTACTCTGAAGCACAGGAAGACAGACTGAATCAAGGTTCTGTCAAGAAGAAAAAACTGGGGCAGGGGGTGGGGGTGGGGGTGAGATTAAAAGACTGAAATAAACATTCTCAGATTAAAAAGAGAGATGGAAAATTTTTGGTTGTAATCACAGGTTTAAAAACAAATCAAAACAAGTCAGTAAATAACAAATCAATGAGACTGATGTTTGATTTTGCACCATGTAGTTTGTGCTTCATACTGCCAGAACAGTTCATGCCACTCATTTTCACACTAAATTATATGTCACCTATTAGTCTCTGAATATTTCCTATTTTCTTTTAAAAATTTTTTTTCAACGTTTTTATTTATTTTTGGGACAGAGAGAGACAGAGCATGAACGGGGGAGGGGCAGAGAGAGAGGGAGACACAGAATCGGAAACAGGCTCCAGGCTCCGAGCCATCAGCCCAGAGCCCGATGCGGGGCTCGAACTCACGGACCGCGAGATCGTGACCTGGCTGAAGCCGGACGCTTAACCGACTGCGCCACCCAGGCGCCCCTGAATATTTCCTATTTTCTTAACTGCACTGTAAACTTCTTCAGGATTAGAAAACTAATTTTTTTATGACCTTTTAAGAGCTACCAATAAAAGAAATCGCAAACACCAACACTTATGAAAACCTAACATATATTTATTTCTTGCAATTAATAATTTTCCTCCTCATTAAACCTGGAAGATTGAACACAAGCATGTATCTCTGCTCTTTTCTAAAACGCAACTAAAATGACAATAAAGGACTTTAACAGGTATACATTCATAAGAATAATGAGAATATAACAGAAGATATCGGTGGACATGAAATTTTAACCAAATTTGAGAAAATCGAAAGATCACAGACATGTTGCAGACTAAGAAGACCCGAGAAAGCCGAAACATGAGGCTGCAGAAGGGGTGAATGGTGTGGGAGAGGCAGTGAGTGACAAGCCAACAGGCACATCACTACTACCGAAAGGCTCGGTAACCAGACGTACCAGCTACCGGGCAGCCAGGAGGATGTATACGGTAGGGCAGAAGGATTGGTTCAAAGCTTAGGGAAGGAACAGGCAGTCTATCTACCACATGCCCTCTCCGCAGGCCCAAGCGACTACACTGCCCTGGTCACCACAGAAGACAACATTCCACAAGAGTGTCTGGTAGTTCCCCATGAAAACTGATCTTTCACTCGCTCCCCCTCCAAGTTACAAGACCTTTCCTACTCCCTGCTACACACACAAATACCTTCTGATTAGCACTCTTAAATATCAACAGCTGGCCAAGGAAAGCAAAGTCCATAATATTGCAGGCTGACACAGAAAAGAAAGGGAGAGAGTGAGTGAGTTGTGGAGGAGATAAGAATTAAGTTTAAAAAGAAGAAAGAACAAAGAAACTCAGGAAAAACAGACAAAGAGGCAGATAAAACTTAAATGATAATACCCCATGGATGATACTGCATCCATGAAACAAGAACAGGAGGATTCTCTTTAAAAGAAAAAAAGAGAGGACAGAAAACAGAACACAATTAGCAACAATATGATTCTCTTTATTTCATCTTAGCTGGAACGTAATAGCTGATGTGATAGCTGAAGCTGGAGCTGCCATTTTACATGCAAGATAGAAACCAGCTGAGGATCCGAGAGCAAGATAAGAAGAGCCAGAGTCTTTAATGACCGCTGAGCTGCCACTGCAGCCCTGGAGTGCTCCCTAACTGTGAGAGGTTCAAAATAAAAGCAAAAACGAAAAACGCCTATCTGATATGATACGCTACTTGGGGCTTTTCTGCCACTTGTACTTTAACCATATACTAACACAGTACGTGCTACGCAGTAAGTTTCCTCCCAACCCTGCAACCTGAAACAAAGAAAATTATGTTCCAAGCATATAATCATGTTGTTTCTATCCGCTGTGCTTAGGTCTATCTTACGTTAGCCAAGAAAGCTGGATGCTAACACTTTGATTTCAGCATCACAATCTAATCACATCTACCACGTGCAATACAGTGTAGTGCTGAAGGACCCGTGGCAGAGCGTCACAGGTGCCCACGGCACACTGCACCCATTGTGTTCGGGTGTTGCAGCGTCACTCCACTAAGGCTGACCTTCAATTTCCCTTCAGTGTGACTTTCTTCTTTTAAATTCATACTGGATGACGGATGGCTAACATAATAAATATGTGATCTGTCTACACCGTTCCCCCAGGAAGAATATGCCTTTTTCAAAATAAGGCACTGTCACACACCTGGAGCCCAAACCTAGCTCTTAACTCTTTTGTCCATGGTGAACATTGCAGCTTTTAAATGTTTTTACGTTACCATAAACTATTAAAATATGCTATTCAATCATACACAGACACACACACACACAAGTCACTGTCATGCAAAACTAGAAATCCTAGAGAGAGTATTATGATCAAGAATATAGAATAAAACACAGATCAGTAGGAGTTTGCTTAGCTGCAGATATCCCCTACACTGTGAATTATAATTATTCCAACATTGTCTAAAACTTTCACGTTAAGTAAAGATTTCACAAAATGCTAAAGTAAAAACGTTATGGTAGACAAAGAGGAATATACCACTGGAATAATTTTCTTAGCAAGTCTGGCACAACTAATCAAACCGATAATAAATCCTTCCTATCCCTACCTCCCTTGTTCCCAGGGTTCTGGCTTTTCCGTTGATGACTGACTGGGTGGTACATGTGGCTAGGACCCGAGGGAATGATGGCAGGCACTTTCATACAGAATAAGTATAAGAAAAGGGAAATGAAAGACACGCCGAACCTCAAAGGTAACATAAGACAACAGTCCACCTATTTCTGCCTTTCAGAATCAACTTATCTGCTAAATTCTTGTCGTCTTTGTAACTGAGCACTTTGATATGAGCTCAGGACTTTAAAACACACCTTATCAACCTCCCACCCAGGTATGATCAATCAAAAGTAAACAACCCTACTTCTATGTTAATATAGTGCTAAAAGAATGAGCTCTCCTCAGGGCGCCTGGGTGGCTCAGTCGGTTAAGTGTCGGACTCTCAGTTTCTGCTCAGGTCATGACCTCACAGTTTCGTGGGTTCAAGCCCTGAATCAGGCTCTGCGCTGGCAGTGAGGAGCCTACTTGAGATTCTCTCTCTCTCTGTCTCTGTCCCTCCCCTGCTCATGCTGTCTCTCTCTCTCTCTCAAAATAAATATATAAACTTAAAAAAAAATTAAAAAGAAAAAAACAATGAGCCCTCCTCATTAATGAAAGCATGGAACCCTATAATTTGTTTTGGCTCATAACAAGAATAACCAGTTTACCAGAAAACTCCTCCACCCTAAAAAGTCACAGTACTTATTGTTTACAGATAAAGAAATTAAAAGATGACAAAATACTAATCTTGAATTCTAGATAGCTTCATATTTGCATTGAAATTTCCATCTTCATATTCTTGGCACTTATTGTCTATACTTTTTAAAAAGATTTAAATACTAGGGAGACAGATGGTATCTACTGGGGAAAAAAACTGACACTCTTCTTAGTTGTATAATGTGCTCAGGTGAGGGTGATAAATATTGTTTACACTGAAAGGCTTAATGACCACTTCCACACCACCCCCCACCACAAAAAATTAACACAAAGTGACACAGCTTAATATGCGTAGTGGGGGAGGGGCACCTGGGTGGCTCAGTCAGTTGAGCTACGGACTTCGGCTCAGGTCATCATTTCACAGTTGGTGAGTTGAAACCCCACACGGGGCTCTGTGCTGTCAGTGCAGGGCCCACTTCAGATCCTCTGTCCCCTTCTCTCTCTGCTCCTCCCCTGCTCTCTGTCTCTCAAAAAAAAAAAAAAAACGTTCAAAAAAATAAATAAATAAGGGCACTTGGGTGGCTCAGTTGGTTAAGCATCCAACTTTCGCTCAGGTCATGATCTTGCGGTTCGTGGATTCCAGACTCATATCCGGCTGTGTGCTGACAGCTCAGAGCCTGGAGCCTGCTTCAGATTCTGTCTCCCTCTCTCTCTGCCCCTCCCCCGCTCGTGCTCTGTCTGTCTGTCTGTCTCTCTCTCTCTCTCTCTCTCAAAAATAAACATTAGAAAACAAATTAAAAAGATAAGCTAAAAAATAAAAATTAAAAATAAAAAAATTTACACTGGGAGAGATCATTTTTAAGGAGCAAATCCCACTGACCTGTCCTATAGCAAATGAAACCACATAAACTGCCAAATCAATGCTCAGTACTCAGTAAACCTGATGCTCCCATGAATGCCACAACTCTTCCACCAGACACTGACCTGTCCAGGTTCTATGCAACCTTCAGCACAGCCCCTGAGACTAGTGCTTCCCTCTACCTATTTCCTAAACTGATCTCTAGGTGCTATTTCTTAATTTGGGGCTTTCCTCAATGGGAAGAAGTCAATTTGGGAAATTCCCTCATATCACACAATGATTTACCTCTTTATGCTGCATGCACCTAAAGAGGATAGGAGTTACTGATAGACCCCAAAGTTCAAAAAACTTGCCATGAGGTGAATGAAATTAAGGCAGGCCCCTTAGCCAAAGTTCACTGCCTTTACATTATGGTACACTATCAAACGATTTGTATGTTAATTATTAACTACTTAATATGTCAGCATGTACAACTTAAAAGGCATAGTTTCTATTCTAATATTCCTCCCTAAAAAATGAAGAATATGAGAGGTATATTTGTAAAACAAAACCCAGATGAAAAAATGAATATTGTTAAATCAATAGGAGATGGATATTTTAGCAAAGCCTCTTATCTAATATTCTAAATTTAGCTGAAATGCACAAGTATAAATCAGAATATGTAACTGTTTCTCGTGGCAGAAAATGAAAAAACTCACCTTTTCAATATTTATCTGGTGTTTTCTTAGCCTCTCCAGGTCTGTTGGGATTACTATCTTAATGAATTTCTGGATAGCTGGTTCAAGACGGCGTAATTTCACTTTTTCTTCATCTTCAGACATTCTAGAAAAATGTTATGTCACTTCTACTTGCAGCAACTGTCTTCCCCACTCACATGGAAAAACCTAAAAGGGAAATATTTAAGAATGTTTTTAATCAGTTTCTATTATTTTCAAAAGCCAACAACGAGGTAATTTTATGATTTATTCTAAATATATATTCAACTTAGTTCTGAACTTGAATGACTTGTTTTTTCTTGAAGAAATCTTTTATTTTAGGGGCACCTGGGTAGCTCAGTTGGTTCAGCGACCAACTCTTGATTTCAATTCAAGTCATAATGTCACAGTTCATGAGATCAAGCCCTGCACCGGGCTGTGCGCTGACAGCATAGAGCCTGCTTGGGATTCTGGCTCTGCGTCTCTCTCTGCCCCTCCCCTGCTCATGCTCTCTTTCTCTCTCTTCAAAATAAGTAAACTTAAAAAAATTTTTATTTTGAAACTCTTTTCTCTCCACAAAAGTAATGTATATTCACTTTAAGAGAATATGAAAAAGAAAAAAGAAAATACAAAAAAGAGAATAAAGTAAAATCAATCAGGGGCGCCTGGGTGGCTCAGTTAAGCATCTGACTTTAACTCAGGTCATGATCTTGCAGTTCATGGGTTCAAGCCCGTGTCGGGCTCTGTACTGACAACTCAGAGCCTGGAGCCTGCCTCAGATTCTGTGTCTCCCTCTCTCTGCCCTTCCCCTGCTCATGCTCTGTCTCTCAAAGATACATAAAGATTTTTTAAAAATTTTAAATTAAATAAAATCAATCATCTCCTCACCCATAGTTAACTAAGCTTTCCATTTTCTTTCTCCCGTTCTTTCCATTTTTTTTATTTTTTAATGTTTTTATTTATTTTTGAGACAGAGAGACAGAGCATGAGCAGGGGAGGGGCAGAGAGAGAGGGAGACACAGAATCTGAAGCAGGCTCCAGGCTCCGAGCTATCAGCACAGAACCCAATGTGGGGCTCAAACTCACGGAGTGTGAGATCGTGACCTGAGCCGAGGTCGGACGCTGAACCGACTGAGCCACCCAGGTGCCCCTCTTTCCATTTTGATGTCTGGTTTTTTCCATATAAGAATGTATATGCTTAAATACCTTTTTAAAAAAAAAAAGCTATGAATTTACTGCCAAGTTTTCATTTCCCAGTATATCTTGCACAAGACTAACCTTTTTAAAAAAAGATGTCAAATGGCAAAATTAGAAAAAAATTCATAACATTTCTGCTTGTATCAAACTTCATTTCTTTTTTTAAAAAAAATGTTTGTTTATTTACTTATTCTAAGAGAGAGAGTGGGGCCAAAATCAAGAGTCAGCCTTAACCAACTGAGCCACCCAGGGGCCCCCAAACTCCATTTCTAACATCATAATGTAACTATGTAATTACATACTTTAAATATAACATCATATGCAATTCTTTTTCATTGAAGTCCTTTAAACTGCCTCTTCCCTTTCTTACAATGTAGACAACGATGAGCATTGTCTACAACCAATACAAATAACCAGTAACAGAGTTGGAATAAGAAAGAATTCCTGAGAGTACTATCAAATGTTCTTTCTAATTCACCAGTAGTCTTCTACCAGTGTTGCAGAATGTCAAAGGGTATACTTTTGGCCCCAGGATAGGTGAGGGCAGAGGCTGGCAAGTGAGCAGGCTCCAGGATCCCATGGCTGCTTCAACTGGAGAAAATTTACTTATATATATTTCATAAATTTGAGCTTATTAGATTTTACATCAGTAAAGGACTCCACAGCTTAACTAAACTTGAGAACCACTGTTGTGCAACCTTGCTTTCATGCCGTCTCATTAGCCCACAACCTCTCCTATATTTAAAAAAATTTTAAGCTATGTTAATCCCAATGGGTTAAGGTGTCTTAAACCAGGGTCCATTATGGACAGAGGTTCCCAAATATACTTTATGGAGTCCCTGAATCTTTATGAATAATTATTAATGTATTTTTTAGTTATTTCAGAGGACAGTCCATTGTTTTATGATATTAAAAAAAAAAAGAGATCACTCCAGAAGCATTAAGAACTATAAATAATGTTGTTTCTCTCCTTTCCTTCACAGTTGAAAATCCTGAAGTGTTGGTTATATAGACTATCTCATCGACTTAGTAACTTGGTTTTCATGTCTAAGCTTGAAAGCAAAAAAAGGAAAATCTCCACACATCAAAAATAAAGAGAGTTCAACAGCTACAGTAGTTAAGTGGGAATTGGAGATATATGGATAAGTTCATTGCCAAAAGAGTCCACAGAGCTAACAGGAAAATTCATAGCTACGGGACTAGACATAATAATCTAAAAAGGAAATTAAAGGGCATCTGGGTGGCTCAGTCAGTTAAGTAGCCCACTCCTGATTTCAGCTCAGGTCATGATCTCACAGTTCAAGAGTTTGAACCCCACATCGGGCTCTGCACTCACTGCACAAAGCCTGCTTTGGATACTCTGTCTCCCTCTTTCTGTCCCGCCCCCGCTCTCTTGCTCTCTTTCTCAAAATAAACATTAAAAATTTTTTTAAAGGAAATTAAAATAGGTACAGTTAAAAATATTCAAAGATACAAAGGAAGGAATAAAATATTTTTACAAGTTAGGTAATACTATGAGATCATATCAGGCTAACCTGAAAAACCAAGTACAAATTTGAAAAATAAAAACCTAAAATTAGGTTAAATAGTAAACTATGTAGCTGAAGAGAGAATTATTGATTGGAAGATATCAGTCAGAGGAATAAAGAGATGGAAAACATAAAAGATAAAATGAGAAGCTCAGTAACAAATAGGAGTCCCATAAAGGAAAAATAAAGAAAGTGGTGAAAATATTATTCAAAGCGAATATGCTGAAAGAAAACAAAAAGAGAGAATATGTTGAGAATTAAGATGCAAGACCTCAAACTGAAAATGTACATAAGCCCCAAGAAGCATACATTTAAAAAAAAAAAAAATTGCCCCTTCCTCGCTCGCTCACTCTCTCAAAATAAAAAAATAATTTTTTTTTAAAAAGAACTACTAAAAGGCACACTTTAATAATAAACCCAAAGGAGATGAATGGTGAGGAGCTATGATTATAATAAAGTATACTGTTACTGGGTGGATAAACGAATGAAAGAAAAAAAGATTTATTTTGAATAATAAAAATCTTTGCATGTAAATTATTATTTTTCTATAATGCATCTTTTATAGAAGCATAGTGTTACATTACATAGATGCTCCATAATTTAATCATCTGTTGCTGGCTATTTAGGTTGTTCCAATTTTCCACTATTGTAAACTACACTACAGCTTAAGTACCCTTCTTACACATAAATCCCTACTACCATCTATGATGGTTCTTCAAAATAACTAGAAATAGTATATGTGCACAAATTTTTTTTAAGTTTTGATACCACATGTCCCAAAGGTTGTGCCTATTTACATTCCCATTAGCAACATATCAAAATGCCCATTTATCCATATTCCCACCAATACATGGTATGGTTCTCCTTAGACATTCAAAAATGGTAGGATTTATTTATTAGCCATTTGCACTCTTATGAATTGCCTACTAGTGCTATGTATCTATTTTACTACAGGGGATGTCTTTTTCTTATTATATTTAACATATAATAGACTCATAAATTATCAATTATTTGTCTCACAATGTTCCCAGTTTATCACATTGCTTGTATTTTTCTCTACCATGCAGATTATATACTATAGGAAGAAATCTTTACATCTACCACCATTCCTATTTTCTTACCATACCTGATACTCAATATATGCTGATGGAATAAAATATTTTTTCACATGTCTCTTCTTCATCATTTCTAGTTCCATCACTCCAACAATGCAATATGCATAGCACCTTACAAGTGTCTTAATTGGCCTGCCTTTAGACTCTTTCCCCTCTTCCAGGTCTTTCCTCAGACTACCACCAATTAATAGAACTCAAACACCAACTGCAACATGCTACTCCTCTGAACAAAAACTTCCAAGAGTTCCCTATTATTTGAACAAAAAAATACAATGTTCATAAGTAGATAAACCCAATCTAAGTATTATCACCCAACCTCTACTTTTGGCATTGCAGTGATGCTCCCTCTGTCTAGATGTTCTTTTATATTCCACCTGCCTCTAAAATTTATGTATCATTTGATACACAACTCTAATGTTTCTGCTTTCCCTTCCACTAACCAGCTTATGGTGTACATAACAACCCTAGTTATTAAATATTTGACTTGTTGGCACTGTTCCCCGATGCTATGATGATTTTTTTTTTTTCAGTTCCAAAAGTGATATTTCCAGGTTAGAGTTGTGCATGATTCTACCCTCAGCTTTCTGTGTCCAAGAAAAATCTGGTGCCTCATTAAAGCCATCTATCAGGGAAGACATTTTGCCCCAAGAACCTCCCTAGAGACTTTTCTAACTCTTGGTCTCCCTCTGGCCAGTCTTTTTTTCCTTCTCGCCACCATTTCCATTTTTATAAAATTATAATAAAATGCTTATATAACACTAAAATGACAATACAGTATAAACTTGGTTTGCAAGCATAATGCATTCCAGAAACATGCTTGGAGTCCAAAGCACTCCTATCAAAGCAAATTTCAAGAAACATTGGCTCAGTTGTGATCATGTGACATTCAGCACCATGTAGAAGTACTACTCCTATGGCAAAACACCAATCATTTATCAAGTCAACATTTGTTAGAAATGTTTGCTCATCTTGCAGAACACTCGCAGACCAAGTTACTTGCAATCCAAGGTTTTACTGTATAACATTCAAATAATTGCATAAATCATGATGTTATTAAAACAGAAAGTTGTCCAGCAGTGGCTCCAATCATAAAATAGCTCAAATAATCTTTGTAAGCTGCTAAAGGAAAGTCTTCATCCAATATACAAAATGTGGGTTTATTTATTTTTTATTTTTATTTTATCTCTACGCTCAACGTGGGGCTCAAACTCACAACCCCGAGATCAAGAGTCACAGGCTCTACCAACTAAGCCAGCCAGGTACCCCCCAAAATGTGGTTTTAAAATATAATTGAATAATAGGTAAAAGTGTATTTCAACATTTCTTGATGATCTCACAGTTCATGAGTTCAAGTCCCACATCTGGCTCTCTGCTGTCAGCACAGAGCCCACTTGGCATCCTCGGTACCTCCCTCCTCCCTGCCCCTCCCCGGCTTGCTCTCTCTCTCTCAAAAGTAAACACGCGGGATGTTTGGGTGGCTCAGTTAATTGGGTGTCTGACTTTGGCTCAGGTCATGATCTTGCGGTTCTGTGGGTTCAGCCCCACATCAGGCTCTCTCCTGTCAACATGGAGCCCACTTCAGATCCTCTGTCTCCCTCTCTGCCCTTCCCTTGATCATACATGGCTCGCTCTCTCTCTCTCTCAAAAATAAACAAACAATAAAATAAACACTAAAAATACATTTAAAAAATTGGAATGTATTTCCAATATAATTAAGCCACAAAAATAAAAAATATATTTACATTAACATCACAACTGTGTAAAATATGCCTATAAAAGAGACAAAACACACAAAAATGCCTAACCTCCTAAACTTCTGTACAGTTGATTTCCTTGTAACATTTTTTTTTTTAAATGTAATGAAATATTTGGGGTGATAGAATTGTTCTGTATCATGAAGGTGGTGGTAGATATATAATTACATGCATTTGTCAAAGTTCACAGAACTATACACTACAAAGAATGAAACTTTGAAAATTAAAAAAAGAACACAAAATGTGGAGGAACACAAAATGGAACACATGCTATAAAAAAACAAAACTATTACCAACGAATAGCATAACCACACTGAAAGAAGTGGGAAAAGAAAATAATCTAGGTAACTGGACAACAATTTTTTTTAAGTTTTTATTTATTTATTTATTTGAGACAGAGAAAGAGAGAGAGAGAGAGAGAGAGAGAGAGAGAGAGAGAGAGAATCCCAAGCAGGCTCTGTGCTGCCAGTGCAGAGCCTTACGCAGTGCTCGCTCCCACAAACCATGAGATCATGACCTGAGCAGAAATCAAGTGTCGGATGCTTAACCAACTGAGCTACCCAGCTGCCCATGGAAAAATATATTTTAAGAGGATACTAAAAGGCTGAAGACAAAAAGAACTACACACAACTATACTGTATGCTAATCAGTAAATGTGTTTTTTTATAGGAGTATGAGTAAGAAATCCTGAAAATCCTTGATGTGTATACTAGGACTGAACAAAGAAGAGAATATTTTGTAGAAGATGAAAGACACATGTCTGTCAAAGAAAGAATAGGGGCGCCTGGGCAGCTCAGTTGGTTGAGCATCCGACTTCAGCTCAGGTCATGATCTCCCAGTTTGTGAGTTTGAGCCCCACGTCGGGCTCTGTGCTAATGGCTCAGAGCCTGGATCCTGCTTCCGATTCTGTCTCCCTCTCTCTCTGCCCCTCCCCTGCTCATACTCTGTCTCTCTCTCTCTCAAAAATAAGTAAATATTTTTAAAAACGCTTTAAAATAATCACAGTAATAATCAATGAAGGCAACTTCCATCAATGGATGGTAAAGTCAGCAAGTGAAAAGTCTGAGGAGAAACAAGATACCTGCATAGTTTAGAAACTCTCCCATTACAAGGGAAAAGTAGTAAATTTACGTTAGAGAATCATAGCAGTCACCATCTTAACCAAGTGATCAATAATATCAAAAGCAGTGTCTCATAACATGAACCTCTCATATGAGGAACTGAGAAGGTACATCCACTTCCGCGGCATCAACAAAACATGCACAGCTGTAATCTAATCATAAGAATATATCAGACAAAATCCAATTGAGGGACACTCTACAAAATAACTGACCAGGATTTTTCAAAAGTGTCAAGATGTGGAAAAACAAGAAGACTAATGAGCCACTCCGATTAAAAGCAATGTGGGATCTTATACTGGATCCCAGAACAGAAACAAAGTCCATTAGTATAAAAAAATTATGAAATCTGAAAAAAAAAAAGTGGTAGTTTGGTTAATAGAATTGTACTAATGATAACTTTTAAAATTTTGATTACTGTACTATAATATATAAGGTGTTAACATTTTTTTAAAAAAAGGTGTAAAGAACTTTTTTTTTATTAAAAAAAATTTTTTTTTGAGACAGCACAAGCGGGGTAGGTGCAGAGAGGTGGGGTGGGGGTAGAGGGACAAAGGATCCTAAGCTGGCTCTGTGCTAACAGCAGAGAGCCCCATGCGAGGGCTCAAACTCGCTAACCCTGAGACCACGACCTGAGGCTCAACTGACTGAGCCACCCAGGCGCCCTGAAAACTCTATTCTTTTGAAACTCCTCTGTAATTGTAAAATTATTTCAAAATAAATAGACTTCTTAAAAAATGTATTAACTGATGTTTCACATGGGCCAACTGACATTTATAAGTCAAGAGCTGCCCTAATACTTGTGGAGGCGGGGGTGCCAGGTGCTCTGCAACCGATCCTTGGGTGCTTACAACTATTATTACCTGCGTACCCTTAACACTCAGGTTTCCCGTGAGGAAAGAGTACTGGGAGGTTCACTAAATTACTTAAGAGGTTATTTAAAAGTGAAACAGCCCCAATTATCAAAAAAAACTCCAAAACTGCCGGCAACCTTCCGCCCCCCAAAAGCGATGAACACCGTCCTAGAGATCCCACAGGTCTTCCCACTGGTGGCCCCGAATGTTCTCAGGCACGTCCCCCCGAGACGGGGCACTGACTTGGGAAAGAAAAGTCATGGCCCCAAGTCCTCCCATATGGTCTCTTCTCTAAGCCCTCTGATTCTGAATTTATAAAGGAGGGAGTGAGATGCGGGACCTTCCAGAAAACCACCTTCCGATGTGGCTGACAGGAGGCTCCGATTTCTGGCTCCCCAGTCCTCCCCTCATTGCCCCCGAGCCTGGAGTCGCCTCTCGCTCGCTGTGTCGCCCCCGGCACCCCTGGGCCACAAACACCAGACGCCGCCACCTGGGAACGGATGCACGAGCGGTCTCGGGACCAAGGCGCCGGCGACCCTGCGACCCGGACGACCTAGGGCCCACGCTGCGTCACGGGCAGATCAGGCGCAGGAAACTTTCCCACCCCGCGACCCCGGGAGGCCGCCAAGCTCGCCCTGTCGGCCGCCTCCCAACACCCGCTTCGAAGAGAGCTTCCAAAAACGAAACCGCCACTTCGTGGAGCCAGGAGGACCCCCAAAGCGCTCGCACTCCGGGCCTGATGCCGGGCTTCCCAACCAGCGCCTCTCGCGCGCGCGCGGGTTCAGCGCCCAGCCGGCCAGGGCCTGACGCCCCCGAAGCAGCCTCCCGCAAACCCCTTACCTCCCGCCGGGGCGCTCGAGGCCGGTTGGTGTGCACGGCGCAGGCGCGGGCGCGACGGGGCGGGGCGTCGTGATGGGCGGGCTGGGCTGGGCCACGCCCCCTCCCGGCCCTTTTGGGCCCAGTGGGGCGTGGCAAGGTCTCTAGCTGCTCACAGCCGCAGGAATGATTTAAAAGAGTGGTCTTGGTTTACGTTGGGGGTTGTAACATTGGAGCCGGAACGAAAGAGACTCACAGTCGTTTTTTTAGGTCTCTTTGTTGTGTTATCAGTACGAGATAATTCATACTGCATAGCCTTCTACATTTTGCAAAGTTTTCCCGTCCATTTTCCTGTTTTAACACGGATTTTGGTGGGCTAGCCGCGTGTTCTAAGCTTTTTACACATGTAGAAACTGAAGCTCCTCCGAAAGGTTGTGCCTTCTCCCACTCATCCCCAAAACCCCTGTGAGGTGGACAGGACACGGTCTTAAAAAAACTGTAACAGGCACAGAAATTGAAGCTCAGACAAGTTGTGATTCCCTTCCCCCCACCAAAGCTGGTGGCGATCCTTATCCCAATTTCACAGATATGACGCTGAGGTTAAAGAGTTTTGAGTGACTCAATTCCAGTTCAGCCAGTTAGTGGCAGAGCTGGGACGCCCAACTTCGTTTCCCAATTACCCTCTCAAGCTCTTCCAGTTACCAGCTGCTACCAATGACCACGCAGATGGCTGGCTTTGAAGCCTGTCCGGGTCACATGCTCTGACTTCCAGACCCCGCCTCTTTTATGTGTTTGTGAATGTTCAGATGACTTGTTTAGAATGTATCCGCTGATAATTTCCTTAAAAGACATAAAGATGTTCAAGCCACAGCTCAGGAAACTCAGGTCTTACCGTCTTCCAGAGGAGTGGGAGTAGAGGTAGAATTTGTAGACAAAGGAAGATTAGGGGCCAGTGAGAAAGCCTTGAACTAAACTAAAACAAAAAAAAAAAAAAAAAAAAAAAACTAAGCAATTTAGAGATTCTTTGTGGGTATAATGAATTCTGATGTTTGTTTGCTTTACTCTAGGAATGAAAGGCTTATAAAATTTTAATTCTAAGGAGAAATATTAAAGTATTAAGCAATGCCATGGGAAAATGTTTTTCCAGCAAGGGTCAATTAAACAAGATCATTTGAAGTAAACGTCGTTCAAAACTAAGTCCTGAAAACCAACCTCAACCAGGGATTCAAGGATTCTGTATTTGAAACTTATGGGTTATTTTATGTATGTTTGCTAGAACATAGGTGTGTCAAGGTAGCAGGATAAAGCTTTTTAATCTAACAGCTTGTTAGTTTGATTTATAATCTCTAAAAATTTAAACACAGTGTGTGGAATTCTTTGTGTTCATTTAAAAGACTAAGAAAGTAATATATAATCACGATATGAACTAAGAAATCATTTTTTTAGTATCATAGAGCAAGTATATGGAGAACCTGAGAATCAGATTTAGGGCAACAATATAGACTTCTGAGGTTATCTTCCCAACCCAGTCCTTTTCTGGGAACTGCCTCTCCACCCCACCCCCACAGATCTACAAGCTGTCACTTATGAGCCTCTGGTAGCCATTTTGTACAAGCCTGAACCCATGCCCCTGACCATAGTGAATTATTCTAGGAGCAGACATCTGACTCAAGCTGGAGCAGTAAGATACCTTTCCCAGGAATTTGGGTTTGGGACTAGGATTCTAGCCTCAGTCTGACTGGTTTCTAGAAAGGAGAAGATTCCCACCAGGAGAGCTCCTGGTGGCTGTGTTTTTCACTCTATAGACTGGTGAATCAGAGGAAGCCATGATGCTCTTAGATAGCATTTGTAATTGTGGAGAAATGAGTATAGGTATGTCCTAGTTCGTGGTGTTAAAAAAAAAAAAGTTTTTTTTGCTTTTTTGTTTTTGTTTTTGTTTTTTTTTTCTCAAACCATGAATTATTGAAACATCTATTGCAGTTTTGAATGCGTTCTATTTCTTTGTGCATTCTACATTCCAATATCATTTATGATACCAATGTCATTTGGAACTGAGACAAAGAAAGGTTAAAAATAAAATAATAGTAGTTACCTTTGGGATGGTATTAACTGGGAGAGGGCATAAAGTAGCTTTCTGAAGTACTGGAAATGTTCTATATATTGACACGGTGTGACTACATATGTGAAAATTCATCAAGCTGTACACCTAAGATCTATGTACTTTATGTAAGTTATCCCATAATAAAAAATGAAAATAAAGAGCTAGCAAGTCTTGATATAAAACAAACAAAACCTCTTACTTAGTAAACAAGGAAATCTATACTTTCTTAATATTATTTCTATTACCTCTCTGAGATAGTGGTGAATTAGCAACAGTAATCTCTACCCTTGTTAAAGCCCTTCATCCCTTTGAAAATAAAATAAAAAGCCATGAAAGAGATAGAGAAGGGAGGGAGGTGAAAGTGTCTAGATGTACAAAAAAGAAACAGAGTTTGGAGCACTTTCAAATCCCTCGTTCCAGGTGACTTTACTTTCTGTTTTACTGTCACCTGCCACTCCTGCCCCCACCTCCCCCCCCCCACCATCACCAGTCTGTTCGCTAGTCTATAATGTGTATTATAGTTATGGAGACCTTGTATCAAACCAAAAGGAGTAAACTCTGCAGGCAAACAGTAACTCTGGAATTCACTCATCAACTATTCACCATTTAGAAATTTGATAATCATTTTACATGTAGAATATCTTAAATGCCCAGACATCTGCCTAGAAACTTCCCTACCCCACTTTTTGTTCTTTTAAAATTACCTTCATTATTCTCAAAACTTGATGTGCCCAAGAATTATTGCATAAGGTAGTATTCATAAAACCACGCTTAATGGACCTTGTGGGCAATTTAAACAATTTTCAAGGGTAATTTTGACTCTAATTTTTGCTTTATTCACTGACTTTCATTCTTCATAGCCATACCCCTCTCTATCCAACTCACTCATCCTCCAAAGATGCAAATTTACATTTGCAATGAAAACTCAGTAAACATACTTAGCATTAGAATCATATTAAATGTTATTTAAACTTCAGCAATTTGCAAGGCACCTTGAATTTTATGGTACCTTACTTAATTATTATCATGAATGTCAGTTAATATCACACGGTAGATACACAGACAAGCAAATTGACACATATTCTGCATGGACCCAACCTTGCTTTCTGTCTCTCATTACTCCCCTTCACACATCCTGTGTTCTAACCAAATTAAACACCTCAGTATTCTTCATCCCAGTCCTTTCTGCAGCCCTACATTGTGCCTTTCACCGGAGGTATTCTCCACCAATCACCCCTCCCTCTTTGCACATCCAAATCCAACTCATATTTCCATGTTCATCCCAAATGTGACCCCTCTCAATATTTCTAGAATGTTTTTTTATTTATTTTTTATAAGACTACTTTTTTAAAAGTTTATTTATTTTAAGAGCACGAGAGAGAAAGAACAGAGGAGGGACAGAGAGAAAGCGAGAGAGAGACAGAATCCCAAGTAGGCTCTGCACTGTCAGCACAGAGCCTGATGCAGGGCTTGATCTCACACATGACCTAAGCCAAAATCAAGAGTTGGACTGAGCCACCTAGGTGCCCCCAGAATTTTTAGATTTAATGCCTGCCGCCTCCAAATATCTACCTTATAATCTGATCCTTTTTTTTTTTTGACACATCACTGTCTACCTTTTATTACAGTAATTTAGTATGTGTCTTGTTACCACCTCCAATGCTTTTCAACCTTTTCCTTATTGTGGCACAAATAGAAAATGGCATTTATAAAGCAAAAATAAGAAAGTTGCTCTTAGCTTCTGCCACTGGCCCAGCTGCAGTGGGAGCTGGGGAAATTAACGCCTCTACACACCTAAAACACATTTAAGCACAGGGGGTGAGAAGTTGTCTTGTACCATTCCATGTTAGGACATAAGCTCCCTGATTCCACATTTGAGTGAAATCATTTGGTATTTGTCTTAGTCTGATTTATTTCACTTAGCATAATACCCTCTAGGTCCAAAACAAATGAATGAACAAAGCAAAAGCAGACCTACAAAGAGAGAACAAACTGACATTTGCCAGAGGGAAGGGGAAGGTGGAGGAATGGGCAAAATGGGTGAAAAGAAATGTGAGATATAGCTTCTAGTTATGGAATGAGTAGGTCACTGGGATAAGAAGGATAGCATAGGGAATATAGTCAGTGATATTATAACAGTGTTGTGTGGTAATAGATGGTTACTACACTGTGGTGAGCAAAGCATAATCTATAGAGATGTTGAATCACTATGTTGTACACCTGAAACTAATATAGCATTGTGTTTTGTGTAATGTAACATTCTGTCAACAATATTCAAATTAAAAATTTTTTTTAATTTTTAAAATTTTTTAAATGTTTATTTATTTTTGAGGAAGAGAGAGAGACACAATGCAAGCAGGGGAGGGGCAGAGAGAGAGGGAGACACAGAATCCAAAGCAGGCTTGAGGCTCTGAACTGTCAGCACAGAGCCCAATGCAGGGCTCAAACCCACGGACCGCAAGATCATGACCTGAGAGGGGCGCCTGGGTGGCTCAGTTGGTTAAGTGGCTCACTTTGGCTCAGGTCATGATCTCGCGGTCCATGGGTTCGAGCCCCGCGTTGGGCTCTGTGCTGACAGCTCAGAGCCTGGAGCCTGTTTCAGATTCTGTGTCTCCCTCTCTCTGTTCATGCTCTGTCTCTCCCTGGCTCAAAAATAAATAAAACGTTAAAAAAAAAAAAAAAAAGATCATGACCTGAGATAAAGTCAGAGCACTTAACTGACTGAGCCACCCAGGTGCCACCAAAACAATCTTTTTTTTTTTTTTTTTAAAGAATGTAAGCTCCCCAAGGGGAGGATCCATGTTTGCTTATCTACCCATATCTACCCATGGTATCTACCCATAGTTCCTAGTTCAATGCCTTGTACCTATAAGTGAATAATTGAATAAATAAATGACAATGCTCTTTAAGTTTGCTTTTACAGAGTTCTGAGGGCTTCCAGTTGTGTCAAGAACTTGAAAGTCATCACTCCTATCCTTAAAATA